CCTCACAAAGAAACTAATGCAAATGCCACTCCTGAAGAACCATCTGCAGAGGAAGAACCCCCTGTTGAAAATATTGAAGATATCATTGCTACAGTTTAATAGTAGTAATACTRGAGGCAGTATTACTGTGTGGGATAATGCAACGGATACGTACGTACTGTATTGAAAGGATACGTACGYACTGGAAAGGAAGCATACGTACGATACGATGCTCCCTCTGAATGGATGGATATACCATTCCTACCTACATATCATAATATACTATTCATATATACAGATCATACGATCCTCCGATTGAGGACCGTAAGAGGTCTAAGATACTATTCGAGAATACCTCACGAAGAATAGAGATGTCACGAGTCCGGAACAGAGAACCTCCATGTAGAATCCCTACCAGGTCTACATGAGGTTCCAATCGGAACTTCGGAATTCTCGTGAACGCGCTTGGTAATCTTCGAATAATTCTAATCTTATAATTCAATTTTCATACACACTTAACACCTACTAAGAGAGTACACGTAATCTCGTGCATTAAGAAGTATATTTTTGGGGCATCAACGAAACTGTCCTTGAGTTTCAAAATAATATGTACTTTTTGCTGCTTACAAAATTATTTAACAAGTTCGTACTGTCATTGCCTTTGACATCGTCTTCGCTTGCAGATATCGACTCCTTTTTAATGCCCATGGTGCAGCATAGTAGGGTGCAYAAGATTTATCATTATTTTGCATGCATGAATGAACCGTTGGGCAGTTCTCGGCAGAAYAATAAGTGAACGAAGAGTTTTTAGGGGTCTTTGGAATWGAGTAAGAGTCTACAATATTCTCGTCTATTTCAGTTCAAAATAGTATCAGAATTTATTACGGGATCGACATCTGATGAATCAGCCAACGCGAAGAATTTCATTCCCTTAAACAATACATAGTTTTCTTGAGACCTTTAAGAAAGGCTTTGTTGTCAATATTCAAATGTTCATACAAACAAGACCTATTCCCACAGCAATATAACGGCAGACAATTTTGCAATTAATGCTTTTTTTTCTCAGTATTAACAATTTGTTTTTATATCTATTAATTACTTAATCCTCTTTTCGAGAATGATATTAGAAAACTACATCGTATTACTAAGTATTACGGTCACACCGAAGTGTGTACCATACCGTATTATAGCTTCTATGAAGTCTGTTAATCATGGTTTTGTAAACCAACTTTCTTGCTGCCCTCGTCTTCTTCGGAATTTTTACAATAACGTGAGATTACAATTGCAAGACTCGTTAAATGTGGAACGGCGTCACGGACTGTTTGGATAAATTCAAAAAACAATTCAAATTATTCTCCCAGATGCGATTACTTTCATCAAAACGGGACGTAAAAACCTCCTATTTCCTCACCATACTCGTACGCTCTCTACTTGAGGTTGGCATAATTTGATCTCACTGTTACATTCATTGCAAACCTAATTCGATATTTGTTTCTTGCATATTTTTGGGTGGACACTTGAAAACAGAGGTTATTCTATTTGCCTCGCAGACCACAGAATATAGAATACACAGCCAAGCAACCCAGAGACGACATCAGCCCATTGCCAATGGAACAAACAATCGGTATTTCAGCGAAGCGTACGATCGGAGCTCCTATTACAACCATAATATCATGTCAGCGGTCGACGAAGTGCACGAGAATGAAACAGACGAAGACAAGAAACCTTCGGGTTTGGACGAAGCATTGCCCATGGAAGTGGACGATCAAGACTTTTTCGACCAGAAATCCTCGAGCGCAACTGCTGCAAACTCTGCAATGAAACCGGAAAGTTGTGTCTCTGCTCAGAGCTCGAGCGATGAAGATCAGAGCAATAACGAGAGTCCCATCGACTCGATTCACACAGACTGGAGCGAAAGTGATTACCTCGATGCCTTTCAGCGGAAGCTGTCGAGGGGAGCGCTGGGGCTAACACACAGCGACCGGAACTCCATCATAGAGGAAATCCACGGCGTTAACACCCATATTCAAGAGGAGTCACCGGATCTGATTCGTTCGTCGCTCCTCAGCCTCTCGACTGAGCTTCGCGCGCTAGTTCAAGACAATGCTGCGAATGGTAACACAAATTCGAAGGAGCCCTCCCTCTCCACGGCATACATATTGAGCCAGTGCATCGGGTCCTCTAGTAAACGTACATACGTGAATACACCAGAGTTCCAGCTGCGCTTTCTGCGGTGCGATAACTTCGATGCGAGGGCAGCGGCGATCCGGATGATGAAATGGCTGAACCTGGTCCACGAAGTCTATGGGGCCTATGCTCTTTACAGGCCCATCCAGATTACGGATTTCACAAGAAGAGAGCGCAAAATACTTCAGAGCGGATGGCTGCAAGTCCTCCCGTTTCGGGACCGGAGCGGGCGACGTGCCTTGATCTGGCTGGGGGAGATGGGGTTCAACTACGATCCGGTAGTGAGGGTACGCGTGGTTTATTGTGTTGCGCAGCATTGCGTTGTATTGTGTTGGATACATATGTCTATTGTCTCGAAATGGGTTGCAGTTCATCTCACACGCTATTTAACGTTCCGGTCCGACGCTTTGTTTTACCGATCATTCCTTCATTCGTTTGTTTTTCTCCATTCACACGATAGATGAAAGTATTACTGTTTGTCCTTCTCGCCGGGACGAGAGATGCAGAAACTCAGCGAAAAGGAATTGTTTATTTGATCTGGCCTTTTAAAACACCCAGGGAATCCGTTGACACTGACAATGACAGAGACTACGACATGTTGTCGTATGCCAGGCTTGCCAAAATTTTTGTGGAGGCCACACCCACAAAATGTTGCGCGGTCCATTGTTGCATCACTTCGGGTAATGAATCGATGCGGAGTCCTTGGCTGATATCGCTGTACAAGTTGATGTTTACGTTGTTTGAAAACTCAATGCCGGTTTTTAATGCTCGCGTAAGATTTCATGTCGGTACGTGCGCTTGTTTCCCGATCCAATCAACAATTGATAAGGTGCCACACAGTGATTGTGGGCCACCCCTATCTTTCTTGGTACCTCTTGCACAAACACGAACATGTTCTCAAACATCGAGTATGGGTCACCCCTACCMTCTTCCACAAACACGAACATCTTCTCTAATATCGACTGATTCTTATTGTTCTTCCGTTGTTTAAAAAACTCAACCTCAGGAACAGTGCAGGATTCCCTGGAACAATTGTCCGGGTATGGAATCCCGTCGGGCGTGATCCCCATCACGACCACGGGGACTGTCAAAACCGTGTACCTAAAGCAGTGGCTCAAGCTGCAGCGACGGATCGACGACCCATTGGACGAGGCAAACGAGCTCAAATTTATCGATTGTCCGCTGTCCACGGATGTTCTCTTTCGGTCGGGATCGACCATGTTGCATAACCCCGGCAACGTCATGTTTCGGGGCCTGATCGAGGCGAAGATCCAGGAACTCTTCGGGTCAAACCAGCTCGAGGACAGCCATTCTTCTTTCAGTCCCCCGATTTCGACGACGAAAACTAAGGAAGACATTGCCATTGGCATCGTTGAGGAGGTGGTCCGGGACAAGAACGGCAGATTCTTGGTGTGGAACAGCAAAGACGATTGCTGGAAAGTGCTCCGTGACGCTTCGGCGGTGACCACGAAGGTCGCCACTGCGTACCGGGATCTGAAGCTGAAGGTAGCGAAGGTAAAAGACCAACAGGAACAGCAGCAGCAGCAGCAGCAGCAGCAGCTATAGATGGAGCCAGGGTAAACGAACTGAGCCACCAGACGACACAACCGCTACATCAACGCACAACATTATCTTAGCCATCCGATTCGACCCGTCGCCATTCCAACCGATAAACGTTGGGCCAGATCGAGATGCAACGAAGTCCAGCACCAGTTCGTACGCTCGTTCCTTGTTGGTTTGGAATTATTCAATGTCGGATGCTACGTATTCATTTTATCCATTGTATTACGGAACAAGAATAGCAAGCTGAGATGGCTCGCTTCTACTTGGACACAAGGGGAGACTAAGACTGACTAGGAATAAATGCAGTATTCCAACAACAATAACGATAGCAAATGCTCTATTGTCGTATTTTCCAAGGGCAATAATGTTGGATAGGCTCTACCGTGGAAAACTGATGAGCAAGGCCATGTCTTCCGTGCACGATCCCGTACCGCATTCCATAGTAAAGAAAGAAAACAGATGCGAAAAGGACCGTACGTACGGCACGGCACGATCTCTGCTGGAGATGAATCAGAAACCACAAATAGCTGCTACCGGTAGTATTCTTTCTCGAAGACTAGTAAAAGAATACCAAAGTCCTGTGTAATGTTTTTGGAAGTTTTCCTACTAGTAAGTGTTAATATAAAATATAAATTGAAGGAATGATCAGTTGATGTTATGGTTCTTAATCTTGTTGTTGCCCCTGCCTGGCAGCTGAATCACCATTCCATTTGGTGTTCTTCTTATTCAATTGCACCTTCCTCCTGCTATGGCCATTCTCCCCTCTTGTTCCAGTCTGCTCTCCTGCTTCTTCAATACTGAACTGTGTGGGAGCTTCTCTTCATTCCACCACTTCACTCTGCATTCTTTTTGTGAGATGGTTAGTATTGACAATCTGCAATCATATTCCATGCACCAATAGTACTACTAATAGTAAGAATATTAGTTCTTCCTCCATAGCCACTACTAGTAGACACATGGCTCTAGAAGAAGTACTAGTAGTACTAGTAGTAGCACTTGTTGCTTCTTGTTGTCTACTATACGAACTTGATCCTCACTTATKGGTGAAATAGTAGTTAGTTAGTGATGATTACTAGTAGCTCATCTTGTAACAAGCACTAGTGGAATGATAGTGTACCTTTTCACTGTTGAATATTGACTAGTAGTACTACTGGGGAATTAGTGGGAGAAACAGATGAAGGACAGAGAGTTTGAATTTTTGCTAAGGACTAGTAGACTGGTGGGACTGACTGGACAAAGGACAGACTATTTCTACTGCCACAGATGGAATATGATTTTTTTGTCCTTATGCTGAAAAACGTGCGCGTTGCACAACCCTTTAAATTTATGACCCCTGCATACTCCTGCGTACGCATACCGGTATGATCGTTTTTGTTGTTGTTGCGTTGATGCCCGTAACCTAAGTACGTACCTGTACTATGGTATGAGCCTTTACCGTACGTACTTGCGGTAGGAGCACTCCGCGAGGAAAGAATGTGTCGGGTGTCAACGTCAAGAAGGAGCGGAGGATGCAGTGTACGGTACGGTACAAGTAAAGTAAGTACTGGTACCATACACACCGATGAATCACAATATCTTCTTCGAAACGAGTTCCCATTGATCTCCTGTCTCCTGCCCCGCCCTTCCGAACCATCGTTCGCACCGGCATTGAAGACCCCGTTGAGCTTGGTGAAACCCGATTGAACAAAAGTCCTCGCCAGCCGTGCAAGCCTCTGTCCCGACACAAGTCAACACAACTTGACACAACACAACTCAACTCAACTCAACTCAACTCAAACAGGAGCATGGAAACGCCCGACCAAACCGACCGGCGCCATCGCCGAGCACCACGGACCCCGTCCTCCTTTTCGTTTCGGCGGACCGTGGTTCTTTTGTTGGCTGCGAGCGGGCTGTCCGCGGTTCGGTCCCTGTCGCCGCCTTCCTCGCCTCGGCCGCCCAATACAAATACAAACACGAAAACGGAAACAAATTGCCTTTCCGACCACCACCCGATCGGCGGCCACCCCCAAAAGAACAAGAATCCCAGCAGCAGCAGCAATAGCAATAGCAACCACCAACGCACACTCCCAAGCCGCCGGCAGCTGCTGGACGAGACGGCGAGGATCACTGKTGCCGCGATTGCCGCCGGCAGCGGTGCTCCATGGATGGCAGGGATCCAGCCAGCAGCGGCGGTGGCGGCTCCCTCCGATGCCAAACCGCGGGGACCCGTTGTTGCCGTGGTCGGTGCCTCTGGGAGAACCGGCCGTCTCTGCGTCGATGCGGTAAGCAAGAACCTGCCCCGAGTGCATCGAATCGAATCGAATGGCATGGCGTGGCGTGGCATTGGTGTGCATTTCGTGTCGCAGTGTCTCGGTCTTGCGCGAAATTTCGTCGTCTCCGGGTCGAACCCGCAACGAGTCTCTGAACGCCTCTTTTTGTTCTCTCTGCCCTTGCGCGACACCAAACAAATCCATCCCGCTACTGCTTTGTTTGGTTCTGTTTTGTTTTCTTTGTTTTCTTTTTTTTTCACACCGCTCCACTCGTCTTGTTTCCCTCCGTCCGCCGGACCACGCCAGTGCCTCCGACGGGGAATCCGGGTCCGGGCCCTTACCCGCACCGGGGAATGGACCGCCCCGGCCACCCCCGAGGGTGCCCCCCGGCCCTTTGGGGGCGACACCACCGGCCTCCTCTCGGTGGCGAGGTGCGACGTCGCAAACGACTCGGACCAATCGATCGGGGAGGCCCTTTCCGGCTGCGGGGCCGTGATCTACGCGGCCTCCGCCTCCAAGGCCGGGGGGACGGCCCTCGCCGTCGACCACACCGGCGTGACCAGGGTGGCGAGCGCCTGCCTGGGGGTCGGGGTGAACCGGTGCGTGCTCATCTCCTCGACGGCCACTACGAGGCCGAAGAGCCTGGGGTACGTCTTTACGAACCTGGGGGTCGGGGGGAACATCATGGGGGAGAAGCGGAACGGGGAGCGGGCGCTGATCGAGGCCTTTGAGGCGGCGGGGGAGAGAACCCTTGCCCAAGGCGCGGCCCTTCCGTCCTACGCCATTTTGCGGCCCGGCGGGCTGGAAGAACCCAAGCGCAACAAGGTCCTCGGGCCCCCTTCGCTCGAGCTCTCCCAGGGGGACGTCTTCTCCGGGATCATAAGCCGGGCCGACGTGGCCGAGCTCACGGTCGAGCTGGCCCTGTCGGAAGCTGCCGGGACGAGGAACACGGCCCTCGAGCTGTACTACACGGATTCGGTGGTTCCCGTCGAAGCGAGGTTCGGGGGGCTGCTGAAATCCGAATCGGCGTCGGCCGGCAGCAAGCTCCGTCTCCACGGAGGCACCTACGAGGAGCTGCTGGGAGGCCTCGCCCCGGGCATCGATTTTGCCGCGGTGTCCTAGAACCAGCCGGGCGGAGGTGGCGGCGGAGGAATCGCAATAGCAGTATTGCGTTTCTCGCTCGTCGTTGCTGTCAACAACAAGACATGGTGCTGCTGCGATGACCATTTGCTGGTTCAGGCGTACGCCGAATCGGTGTCGATGCTGCTGATTTCCTGCGTCAGATCCACATCGATAGACAAACGACGAGTACTACTAGTAGTGCGTATGGCATGAGGAGCCAGCCGATGCAAGGAATGCTGATTGGGTTTGATCCACCAAGCAGCACCAGCAGCAGCTTTTCCAACACTGGGATGTGAGACAGCTTGCAGCAACAACAACAAGATGCAAATACAATCCACTGCTATTGCTGGAGGAAGTGATAGAAAAATAAACCTTGTCTGATTTAAATGCTGATAAAAGCTGCTAATAGAATCTGCTGCTATTGGAGGAATTGATAGAAAAAGGAACCTCATTAGAATCTGCTGCTGTGGTACTACTACTATGAGCCAGCTACTAGTGCTGCTGGTGTGGTACACCTACTAGTAGCCAGTACTAGTAGATTCCAAAAAGTAGGCAGCAGCAATTATAGTAAAACCAAAGTCCAAGGTTGCAAAATACTACTACAGATGTTTGCTGTCGTCTCTTGGCATATTTGTTTCTAGTAGTATGGTTGGTGCTACGGCTGTAAAAACAATAATCTCATGCTCTTCATGGAATTTGTTCCTCTCTGGAGTACTAGTAGACATAGTAGTAAGGCAGCACCAGCAGTGCAGCGGTGTATGGGAGGCTGGGTTTGGGACCAGCAACAGTCATTGAGGACTCCATTGAAATGGATTGAAGAAGCTGTCCAAATGGATGAAAGTACTACCAGGAGCTACCAGCACCACCAACAACAAGAAGCCTCTGGTGGTTCTCCTGGGTACTAGTACCACCAGCAGCACTTGACAGCAGGAAAGGCTCTTGCTTGAACATGTTGCTAGTTTACTAGTAGTAGACTAGTACTCTGATACTAGTAGTACTACCAGCAGGTTTCAATATAATGAAAGTACTTTTTGCAAGCCAGCAGAACCATATTACCCAAACCAGCAAGAGGGAAGAAGTAAATTGGTACTATTGTTGCAAAACAGAAAGCAAAAATACTATCATGCAACCAGCAGGATGCCATTTGAGAAGCACTAAAATTATATCCAAAGATAATATAAGCTCAATATTTACAAAATGACTATCATTTTGTGGGTTATTTGTGGGTTAGTATTCATGGGCTATTTTTAGGGTTAACCATTGCACTTTTTAGGGATGAACTGAAAAGGGGTGGCACTTTCCTTAGGGCCCTGCTGTGTAAGTATTACCTCTATTTTTTGTTTTCTACTACTATTTAGTATGATACTGCTCTCTTGCAAAGTGAGGAAAACAGAGAAACTCTTATTCCATGTGTGGTCCAAATTTCAACTTCTGCATAGTAACACTAGTAAAACTATGATCCAGGTTTCAATTATTAATACTACATCTAGATGTAGTAGCTTTACCAAAAATACTAATATTATAATATTTGGCTGTTCAGTTATTATGCTGATTCTGAATATATTATTTTGTTAGATATTAGATATTAGATGGATTTTTGAAGTACTAAAACACTACTACTGATGGTGCTACTAGTAGTCAGAGGTCCTTACTTGTCAGTAGGTGCACTGGATCTCCTACATCAGTAGTACTAATGGATCCTTCAAACATGTATGGGCACTATCTTAGAAACATCTTGTTGTCATCAAGCTAGCCAGTCTACACTGGTCAAAGTTTCTCCAAAAACATGGATCTGGCTTGGTTAGTATTGGCTCCAATCAAATCAGATGAGTCAAATCAGGAATAAAGGGAGGAGTTTTCTAAAATTAWGGGCAAATCTGTTGAAAATGGAGGTAACAATCTAAATTCTTTATTTTGCACCAAGCACTACTGTACAGAATAATCCTGCAATATTGCAAGTTGAAAATGTTAAAGTACAATCCAATACAAACTGGTACAGAAACAATTTGTTAACAGACATAGCCACTACTAGCAGCTACTAGTACCTTTAGTGATATCAGTACTTTCACTGTAGTAGGAGAAATAGTTGGTCCTTTATCCAATTTTTGTCACCAGTAAGTCCTGCCAAGCTTGAAACTAGTTCAGTCCGAAGGAAAGATCAAACTATCTGCCCTTCATCCATTGTCTGCTGCTATTTCTTCATAAGTACAACAAGTTGTTATGGTGGTACTACTAATGTCTTCATTATTGAACAGTAGCAGAACAAAAATCCATATTACTAATTGAAAGTTAGTTAGTTTTACTAGTATTGTGCAGTGAAAATGAGATGAAAAAAGTCCTGCAGGAACTTTTTTGAAACAGATCTTGCATGCACACCCCTCTAAATTTAGTATGACACTCAAGGTACCATACAGTACCTTTGAGTGAGTTAGGATACATTAGGTATTTAAATTTTTTCTTTGTAAGCATGCTAGTAGCTAAGGGCACTTGTGCTTGTAAATATCAGAATTTGAGAACTTGAATGAGAGGGCGAAATTAATTTTGGATCCCTACTAGCAGTCAATCCCCACACAAAATGACATCACAGCGACTATCCATTGTGTAATAATCTAATCTTCCCAACTTAAATAACAGAGCCTTCATGTTATCTTGGAGCTTTCTGATGACATCATTGAAATGAACTGCAAGGAGCAAGCATTGGGTACCAACATGGGATCAGATGCTCTCCTACCATTTCAAATGGAACTTTGAAAAATACAACAGCAAGCTACTAGGAATGGAACCTCCTTGTGGTGTCTCATTGGTGAAGGCATCTGGGGCCAGGTCACAGGGGCAAGGCAGCAAATGACAGAATCTTATATCCCAAGTATCAACCTTGCTGCTTGTGKCAAGTTTTGTAGGAGGCTCCCATGAGAAATCAGTGGAGCTCCCAGAATGTTCTTGCCTTGCACACAAGATAATCCAAACAAGGATCACAGGACAATCTGCAATCAATAAAGCCTATCCATCCATTCCAGAAGTTGAATTATGGCATGGAATATCAGATGTCAAGACTCACTCAGCTATCAATCATCCAATCTTGGTAGTATTGTAAAAAGGGAAAACAGYATATCAAGATTGATACAAAGACTACTGGTATTTGTCACCAGCCTAGTAGTATCAATGCGGGAACTTTTGTCAAGGTTATCAACAAGAAGAGGCAGAGTTGTCTTGTAATAACCAAACACACTGACCCACCTCTGCTGTGATTTATCCTAGTAAGAAGGAAACCAAAGAAGCTGAAGTCCAATGGTGGCCTGCTTGTCACAAAAGGTCATCAACAAGAAGAGACAGAGGAGTTGTCTTGCAATAACCAAAAACAGTGACTCATCTCTGCTATGATTCATCCTAACAAGGAAACCAAAGAAGCTGAAGTCCAATGGTGGCCTGCTTGTCCTTCCAGATATTCCACGGAAGGGAATATCTGACCATTGCCAGCAGGGGAATCTCTTGTGTAGTATGCAAGGGCTTGACCTATCATCACCAAGGAGGAAATCCTAGAGAGGAGGAGGTCTGCTGATGTAGTGAAAGATTTGGAAGATAGTACAACAAGGACTTCAACAGTAGTCAGAAAGCTGAAAGAAGCTACTACTACTCTTACTAATGGTGAGCTTGAACAGTGTCCCCAACTCTTCTTACTAGTACTACTTCCTCAGAAGGGTACTACTAATTCTAGTACTAGTACTAGTAGTTGTACTAATTCCTCCAAGAACCAAAACTCCTCCAGCTCTGAGTTGATAGGAGGAGGAATCCTCCCTCTTGATGTCATTATCAAAGCAGCAAAGATTCCACTACTAGTGCAAGTGGATTGGATGCTTTTGCAGGCATTTTCTATCTAGAAAATGAAAAAATTAATGATTGTGAGGCAGCAACACGTAGTAAATCACGAGTGAATAGTGAATGACAGCAATAACCACATCCACTCAACACTCAGCTCACTCTTCATTGTAAACACGTACCGTGGGGGTATTAATACGAAATGCAACAAAAAATGCAACAGTAGGAAATCATGTACAATTCTACGTACGTGTACATCATACTTATTTCTGCTGCCGGCATACCATGTCAGTAGAGTAGAGCAAAAAATTCGCTAAGTCCGTATCAATAAGTTGATTGAGCAGAATTACTTTCATTTACAAGCTAAAGGCAATTTCCATACTAAACAGACATATGATGGAGGTAATTCTTGACAATAACAGAAATATATTACTATTATGATATTATTCTAAGATCTTATAGGGGGAGGACAAGTAGTTACTACTAGCAGCTAGTATCAGCGGACACCGTATCAGCGGACGCTATCAGCGTCCTCCGTATCAGTGAGCCATATCAGTGAGTCTCCGTATCAGGAGCTTCCCTATCAATGAGCCTCCATATCAGCGGCTTGTATCAGCGGCTTGTATCAGCGGCTTGTATCAGCGGCTTGTATCAGCGACTTGTATCAGTGGCTTGTATCAGCGACTCGTATCAGCGACTCGTATCAGCAACTCGTATCAGCATCCTCCGCATCAGCGGTTGGTATCAGCGGCTCTTATCACCAACT